CAATCTTCTCATCGGGAGTCTGGCATTTCCATGGGCGTCTCCGGAAAAGACAAGGGGCCTTGTGAGGAACCTCCATTGAAGTCCATGCCAGGATTCACAAAGCCTAACGGATCCATGGCCACCAGTCCAGAATATTGAAAAACACACTATAAGTGGTTCATGCTGGTCCAAAATCACAGCAACTTATTTCGTAACCCAATCCCCACAACAAATGCCCCCTGTAGTATACCCGGTGGTTTACTTGTGGATCTCTTCATTTTGGGGTCCCATATAGGATATTAAAAAAATGTGGAAAAGAGAAATTAGATACTGATAATTGCGATAAAATCTCAGTTATAATTCCCTTTGATGTTTTTCTTTACCAACTGAAACGAAAACGGGAGGACGGGTTGATCCAAGGACACTGAACTCTACAAATCATCCAGGCCAAAACAAAGGTCTAAATATGGCTGACCGGAAAATACGCCATGGTGGCCGCAAAAGTAGGAGACACGGAGACACGGTTGGTACCCTAAGGATCTCTAAGGTAAACTAACATCCACGTGGAAAACCCCTAGTTTCTCTACAAATCGTTGGCTTTCCCACATCCTCAGCTGAATCTCGGCACATCGAGCCGCCTTGGTCAGGAAAACCAAGCAACCTGAAGGAAGCGGTGGAAAATCAACCATGGCTGTCTGGAAAATCCATGATAAATGATCAATGGAGGTTTTAAGATGCAGTTAGCATTATTTAGCTGGGACAATCATCTATAGCTGGAAAATTGTTCATTTTTTGATGGTACCTGATGGTTACGGCAACTTTGAATTCCGCAACTTGTAGTTCATGGGGATGAATCCTGGTGTCAATCTACATTGCTACATACTGCGGAGCGGGTCCCAACACATCACATCCAAAAACAATAGGTTTTAATCGAATAATATGTACTGCAGAAATTTCAGGACTCATTGAAGAAACAACTAAATACATCTAAATACAGTGATGTGTGGTTTGTGTGTGTGATTCCAACCTAGCAGCTAAGCCTGTCGAGAGTATCTGCATGTATTTCAAACATTGCAACATTTAGACCTTAGCAGCCATGCCTGCCTCAGAACTAGTATAGATGTAAAAGCGCGGCAACCTTTTCAGATCTTCATCTCATCACTTCTGACAGTACTGAAAATACAATGGCATCAAACCCCAACAAGGGTATGCATCATGTAATGTAATGTTTCATGTAATGAAATATAAAGCAGTGTAATGTAATGTATTTTTATGTTATGGTATCTTGTATGTACGTCTGTCTGTCTGTAGCTAGATGGGTAGGTATATGCAAATGCCAAAAAAATATGCATACACGTACCACATCATCTTCAAACATGGGTTTACATAGATATCTATTTATCTATCTATGTGTCCATCTATGTGTCTATCTATCTATCTATCTATCTACCTACCTACCTATCTACCTACCTACCTACCTACCTACCTACCTACCTATCTACCTACCTAATCTATCTATCTATCTACCTACCTACCTACCTACCTACCTAATCTATCTATCTATCTATCTGCTTATGTATATCTTGAATATGTGTATATATATATAAACATATGTAACTGGCATGTAGGATTCATTTTGTAACAAGTCAAGTCACAGCCCCCTCCTTTCCTGGCCTGGCATTCTCCAGCTCCAGCTCCCGCAAGCGGGAGGACTGGCGATGCAACTCATAGCAGAGTTGGTCGGCCACGTGTTTGAAACGCTCCTGGGCCGCGGCTGGAGTCATGCATCATGCTTTGGCACTGGGGCACCGGCTGTTATTTTTGTTAATATTTCTATATATATATATATATATACATATGATTTTGAAATAGTGGGGAAGGCACACTGTGGAAGTGACCGCATGATTTCTAAGTGGATAGTCTGGATAGTTCCACGTTCTTTGTGGGCCACCAAGTCTGCTGGGGAGCCCATCTATCATTCCCACTGATGCTTGGAGTATTCCCCACTTCGAAATGATGCTCCAAAACTGGTACTCAAAAACATACTTAGAACTTAGAATCAGAATTTCAGAATCTATATTTTTCCCACCAATATTGACTGTATAAATGATACATTGCCAATGTTGAACACATCCCTCTTCTGGCATCCACATGCGCTGTTGTGTTTGTTGCTTTTGAACCAACCCTGAATGCTAGTTCGAAATGTAATGATGTATATATATAATTAGACATGTAACAAATATGTGTGCGTTTAAAATCTAATTATTAAGCGATCCTTCTCAACCAACTGAGCAATTCCGAACTCAGGCACCACCTTGTTGGAAGTCCAGTACCCGGCACCGACCAAACATAAAATCCTATCGCTGTTCCCAAAATCAATGCACAATAGCTTTCACTACACATTTACCTCAGAAATCACCAACAACTATTTTTCATTGAACGAGCACAGATTGGTATCGGGCCACCCTCACATGGTTCCATTGGTGCATGGTAACCTACCAAGCCACATATAGGGGAAACACCAGGGTACCGGAGTCACATTCACTACACTGGCCCATCGAAGTGGCATTCACCAAGGTTTACCTAAACTGACCTAAACTATTAAAAATAAAGCAGTCACCAGCTACAGTAGTCAGTTAGTGTATGAATATAGATAGACAGACAGACAAACAGACAGATGGATGGATGGATGGATAGATGGATGGATGGATGAATGGATAGATGGATGGATAAATAGATAGACAAATAGATGTGTATATATATATAAAAATAGATAAATTGGTAGATAGATATAATGTACCTTAAAAGATCAACATGATTAACTAAGCTG